ACCCCCAGCCGAGGGAGCCGACCGTGCACCACCACCCGAAAGTGCTAGCTCCACGCCGCTCTGAACGAGCGGGCGGCGCCTGAGCGTCGCAGGGTTGCTCCGGACATCTGGATGCGCAGTGCGCTGGCACGGGCCCCCAGACGAGGGAGCGCGGGCCGACTGAAACACCGCCACCCGAAAGTGCTAGCTCCACGCCGCTCTGAGCAAGCGGGCGGCACCTGAGCGTCGCAGGGTTGCTCGGGACATCTGGGTGCGCAGTGCGCCGGCGCAGATTCCCAGCCGAGGGGGCCGACCGTGCACCGCCACCCGAAAGTGCTAGCTCCACGCCGCTTTGAGCGCGCGGGCGGCACCTGAGCGTCACAGGGTTGCTCGGGACATCTGGATGCGCAGTGCGTCGGCACGGGCCCCCAGACGAGAGAGCGCGGGCCGACTGAAACAGGGGTGCCCGAAAGTGCTAGCTCCACGCCGCCCTGAGCGAGCGGGCGGCGCCTGAGCGTCACAGGGTTGCTGGGCACATCTGGGTGCGCAGCGCGCCGGCGCGGACCCCCCGATGAGGAACACGGGCCGGCCGTGCACCGCCACCCGAAAGTGCTGGCTCCACGCCGCTCTGAGCGAGCGGGCGGCACCTGAGCGTCACAGGGTTGCTTGGTTGCGCAGACGGCGGGCGCTGATCTCGGCGGCGCGGGGGCGATCAAAACCCCAACCAGGAGACCGCGAGACGCGCGGCACCACCCCCCGAGCCTGCGCGCGTTGAGGTAAGGAGAAGAGAAGGAGGAATTTAGGAGGAGAATGGGCGTCCGCGAAAACCTCGCTTCCCGAATGCATAGCCTCCTAAGAAGCTACGCCGAGGAACCCGATTCATCGACAAAAGCCCTGCGCCAAGTACTCGCATCCGCCGGCTGCCAGCGATGAGGTCGCGGAGGTCCGCGTCGAGGTGGAAGCATCCCCTCTGGCGGCTGTCGTCCGCGGCGTCGCGGCGCAGGCAGAGCCAGAGCACCGCGTCACGAGCTTGATCGCTGCGTTGACAGAATCGGACTTCAAACACATGTCGGATCTGAGCGACGTTGGAGCCGACGACTTCGCAAAGCTCGCGCCGGCATTCGCCGCTTGCAACAGCAGCTTCGTCAAAGCCTTCTTGTCGCACTGCCAGAGCAGCGCCAGTCGCGAGCAGGCAGCTCAAGCGCACAAGCCTGGCGGGCGAACGGAGCCCCAGCGCCCGGCATCTCTGGCAGCGGGCGTCGCTGCGCAGGCAGGCTCCGCCTCGGGCAGCGCAGGCGCTGGCTGTGCTGGCGACCAGACGCCCACTGCGAAGCGATTGGACGCCCCCGCCGAGTGCTCGCAGCCGCCGTGGCAGCTGCTGCCAATTGCACCTGCTATCCGGGTGCGGAGCCCACTGGCAGGCCACGGGACGAGATCAAGCGGGCTCGTCGCGAAGCCAGCGGGGGCGACCATCTGAGCTTGCACAGCTTGTGGGTGGAATTTGCCAGCTGGAGGAAAAGCGCCCCCCAGTATGCTTCCGCAGTGCGCCTGTGGGGCGACGCTGCCGCTGCTGTTGGGGCGCCTGGGTGGCCACCAACAGAACTGATCCTTGACACTTTCGTTGGTTTGTTTTGCAGCGGCCACACCTTGCAGAGATACGTGTCGCACGTGCGCAGTGTATTGCACTTGGTGCAGGCTCCGCTGGGCGTCCTCACAGACACGCATAGATTGTCGAGAGGCGCCGAAAAGATAACGAAGTATGAATTCAGAAGAGAGAAAATCCGTGCCACAGCTGAGGAGACCAGACGCATCCGTAAGTGGTGCTCGGAAGCCGGATATCCGACACTAGCGACCTCGTGGGCAATTGCACGCCATTTTTTCTTGAGATATTCTGACGATTTAAATATGGGGACCCACGCGGTCGCATTTCGTTTTACCAGCGAGGGCCGTAAAACGTGCATCATCCGTTTTGCCCACCGGATGTCGTGCAATGAACCCTGCGAGGCGACGAGGCGTTGCTTTCTGTTTCACACCACAATCCCTTGGCAGCTTTCGTGGAGCCCCGGGGACACCCGAACCCCCGAACCCCCTGGAACACAGACAGGGCGACGCGAAGCGTGCGTAAGGGAAATCCGCTCGCCACTGGCCGTGGCTCGTCGGGAGTGCTGCGTCTGTCGCAGGCCACGGCGGCGCACCCGACGAGGGGCGGCCACCAACCCCCCGAAGGGAGACGGATTGCGACCAGCACGACACGCCACACAGGGTGGGCGGGAGGGACCGCGAGACGCGCGGCACCACCCCCCGGGCCTGCGCGCGTTGAGGTAAGGAGAAGAGAAGGAGGAATTTAGGAGGAGAATGGGTGTCCGCGAAAACCTCGCTTCCCGAATGCATAGCCTCCTAAGAAACTACGCTTTCCGCTTCGCACCACAATCCCTTGGCAGCTTTCGTGGAGCCCCCGGGACCACCGAACCCCCGAAACCCTTGGAACACAGACAGGGCGACGCGAAGCGTGCGTAAGGGAAATCCGCTCGCCACTGGCCGTGGCTCGTCGGGAGTGCTGCGTCTGTCGCAGGCCACGGCGGCGCACCCGACGAGGGGCGGCCACCAACCCATACCAGGCCCACAGTGCACAGTGCAAGCGCGAAGCGCGACGCAGATATGGTCACCTGACCTGCCGGGAGTTCGACAGGAGATTTTCTTCTACAGTCCTGATCGATCAAGGCAGTTCTCTATAACGGGCGCTGCCAAACCGGGGGCCTGCTCAGATTAGGCAAGCTGTCTGCCGGCCGAGGCGTGGCTGAACACGCGGCCTGCGCTGCATCCAGGTGGCGCTGCTTCCGAGCGTGTGCGGAGAATTTTGTGCAAAAATTCAGCGTCACCCCTCCCTGGCGTTGCGTTTCCGCACGCACAATGGGCAGCCATCTTCCGTGCAGCTGGCAGGGGCCATCCTGGGATACACCCAGACGCCCCAGCCAGCGAAACGTGACGCACAGGGAGGGTGGACGGGAAAAACCACACCCAAGCGACGCGAATGCACGCCGCCAACAAGAATCCTCAGGGCAACCACTGGACCGAGCACACCTGCCCCAGGTCGCCCCTCACTCTGAGCCCAGAACTAAAATTTCTCGTCGCCCTCTGTGCCGTTGTGTTCTCGCACGTACGATGGGCAGCCAATCTTCGCGCAGCTGGCTGGGGGTCATCCTGGGAAAGCCCCCGGAGCACCCCAGCCAGCAGAACACAGGGAGGGCGGGCGGGAAAACGAAAACCACGCCCCGCGGCAAGCCCCAACCGCCACGGCACCTTGGCAGGGGCGCCCCGTTGGCACCGCCAGGCGTCTGCCTGGACGAAGCGCTGACTTGGCGCAGCGCTCGCCACAGACGGCACCCCCACATGCCCTTCTGGGCCCACCGACAAAACAGACAACAAACAGATGACGCCGACCAACAGACCAACGACACAACAGACACCCGCCACCCAAACGGGCGAAACGCGTGGAACGAACTCACTCACCCCTCCCGGGGATCCGCTGCTCCCACCAGGGAGCGCCCGCTCCAGCGAGCCAAAGGCATGGAGGCAAGGAGGCCAAGAGGCCAGGATGCAAGGAGCCCTAGCGCTCCTCAAAAATTTCACTGCCCCCCAAATCGCTTCGCGATTTAGAGGCGACTAAAATTTCTCGTCGCCCTCTGTGCCGTTGTGTTCTCGCACGTACGATGGGCAGCCAATCTTCGCGCAGCTGGCTGGGGGTCATCCTGGGAAAGCCCCCAGAGCACCCCAATGCACCCAGGTGGCCCGGACGGCTGCGCGAAGCGAAATGCAACTGATTACCGAGCTCACCCCCTGCAAGCAGGAGCATTTTTACTCCGCAGCCTCCGATGATTCTGAATGCTCAATGAGGAACTCCGCCGCAGCGATACCGCCACGAGCCCTGGCAGAGGCGTAAGCGAAAGCGGAAAGGCCACGCCATCCGCCCGAGTAAAACAACGCCGTAGGGCCATTGGCCTGCAAGCACTCCGTGGCCCAGCCGCGCCTGAAGGCATGCGTTCCCCACGCAGACGCGTTGGGTAGGCCGCGCGCCTGGGCCGCCAGTTTCAACGTCGCTAAACTTTCAGAGTAGCTGACCCCTGGGAACAAAAGACCGTTGTCGCCGGCTTCCCTGGAGCACAGGACGCAGACTCCGCACAAGGCCTTACCTTGCAAGCTACAAATGCATTTCCTGATTACCTGCACCGGCTCAGAACAGCACTTTCTGCTTATGTACGTTATTGTCACCTCTTTCCGTGAAGTACCCGGTGCATCGATGACAACTGGCGCCGCCGCGGAGCCAATTTGCAATGCCTCACTATAACGCAAGCAAAAATGCCTTGCAACCACCCAGGACGCGCCCACGTCGACGAAGCCGAACGTTGAGCACCATCTCACCAACGCCTTGGTTTCCGCAGCTGTCGCTCGCATCCGGGGCCTCCTTAGCGATCTACCGGCCTTCTCTGCTCCCCGGATCACCCGCGCCGTATCCGCCAGGGGCCCAAGGGGAGCCCGTAGCCGCAGAAGCACCGCACGAAGATGAGACAGATAGCGCGCCAGAGTGGCCGCACTCCTGAAAAGGCCAACGTATACGTCGATGATGGCGTGAGTGGGCGGCCACGCAGCCACCGCACACAGGACGGCGACTCTTCCATGCAGCCGCACAGCCGAAGAGTATCCGCGGGCACTCGCCTTCCAGCCAAAGAACTCCAACCATACTGCTTGCTCTGCCATGGTAGACACATCCACGCTCGCAGCATCCCGGCGCAAGGCCTCCTGCCTAGGAGGTAAGCGGGGTGTCGCGAACATCGTCGCTTCCGCTTTTGCCAACGCCAAGATAGCATCTGCGAGAACGTCCGGGTCTGGGACCTGCTCCGCAGCCCGCGCGGCAGCACACAGCTTCAAGGCAGCCCTGGCTGATACTGCGCCGGAGTGCCCACGAACAGGTGGACGCACAACCGCCGGAGCCGAACATGAAGACGAACTGACCACTGGCCCTCGCGGAATCTCCTGTTCGCTCTCGCCGGCTCCCGCTTCACCTGAGCGTACTGGGGTTTTAGCGGAATGTTGCTTGCACAGCACCAGAAAAAGCTCCACGAATTGAATGGGCTGAGGCGCTAGCGCTTCCCAGAGGTCCTGCGCTTCCGGCGCCGAGGTGCCAGCGAAATCAAAAGGAAAACAGCCACCGTCTATCTTTAGCTGTTCTGCAATTCGCGAAAATGCGAGCTCCAATTGCAAGATGCCTCTTGCGCGTAGAAGCGCTCCCACTTCTGACGTTTCCCCAACATCTGCCTGTCCAGGCTCAGCACCTGACGCATCAGCGTTGCCCGTGGCACGAGACCCCCGACGAGGGCGCACATCTCGCGAGACAGTGCTGTCATCTGCTGCCCGCAACCGGCTCTGCTCAATGAATTTCAGCATTTGAGCCAGGCTGGCTACGAAACACCTGGAACGCGCAAATGAAATCCAACGCAGCTGCCTCGGGAAGTCTCGGGCACATGGCATCTCCGAGGGCCGTGATGGCAGCTCTCCTGTGGCCTTCGCGCTTCTTGTGTCCTCTCAAGGGCCCCGGGAGCCAAGAATCCGGTGGCCCGGGCACGGTTTCCCAGGGATCCGTGTTTCTGGGCACATTTGCCCAGGTCCTGGTGAATTGGTGGGCCCATTGGGGGTCGGCCTAGAACCGCTTCGCATTTCCTTCTGCTAATTTCCTCCAGCGCTCACTCTCCCGACCAAGGCAGTCCGAATGGCCAAAGCCACTCAATCTCATTGAAACCTCTTGCTTGAAATTCAGCTACGGCACTGTCCCAGCTCTCGTGTCTCGTGGGACCGTCAGCAATATTCAATCTACTGGGCACCCGGAACGCATGCAACGCAATGGCGCGCTTCGCAATTTGAAACCAGAAATCCGTGATCACCTCATTGAGATCACTTTGCCTACTTGCGCCGCGCACGAGCGCTTGCAGGGCCGGATTGCAATCGACAAACAAAATAATCTCGCACTCTTCGAGACCATGCTCGATTAAACTTCTGACAGCGCAAACTGCCGCCACTAACTCCCAGAGCACAATCTGCGTGCGCCTGGGATGTGCCCAAGCCCACGCTTCTCGAGGGACCCAGGCCGCGCTCCAGAATCGAAAACGCGGCTGCACGACACCAAATGCTATTGCGCCGTCGCGCGCGGCATCTGTATAAACAACGCAGCGCTGCAGCACCTTAGGGGCTAGAGGAATGCTTTTCTGAGGCACTTCCCGTAAAAAGCGATCCCACCAACGCAACGCCGTCCGGACGCGCGTGGTCAAGGAGCCAGTGCGGCGATGCGCTTGCCAATGCAATGCTGCCAAATACGCACGAGCGCCCTTGCCAAACACAGCGCTCCCTGCCCAAGTCAGCCGGCCAGCCAGTCTGCGAGCTTCAGCTGGCCGTAAATAATCGTGCTGGAGCGCAACCTGCACTGTG